AAAATGATGTTTATGTAATTTGTATCTTTTTCTTTATTGAATTTATCTGTGCTTGTTGATTGTTTATTATATTTTATGCACATGCACTCCCCTACAGAATCATCCCAATCAATCTAAAATTATATTTGCCCTAGTCTGAGGTTAAAGATTTAAAATCATAACAAATAATAGTTTAATCAAAACTTTTCTGATGGCTTTGTATTATTAAATCACCTTTAAACAGCAGCAGGGATTGTGCACGTCAAGAACAGGCAAGACAACAACTGAATATTATTCATCATATACTACCCTCTTAACATTTTAAAAATTAGCTGGAATTTAAGTACTAAATTTCTCTGTAATTTGAATGAATGCAAAGTCCTGTTTTAAAACTCTATTAGGCTGGTTGGCTAAAAAGTTCCATTCAGTCTGCTTCAACTAGATGTGTATGTGATTGATTGTTATTATCTGAGCAACCAGTGAGCTTGCTCCTTAGCCTTTTAATGCTTCAGTGTTCTTTGCGTTAGCAATCTATATCTTTTATCATATTTGGATATCATCCTTCGTGTCAAATCCACCTCAGTATAAATCTGCTATGGGGTTTCATGTATGGTATGCTTTCAGCAGCAGTGTGATATATACTCAGACAGCATGTTTGTGACTACTTTGACAGTAGACAGTAGCAAGCCTCTGTACTTGCTCTGCACCAATAATAAAAACAGCAGCAGCGTAGCAGATATATGCCACCAAGACCAAACATGTCAACATTGCCATATACAAATGGAAAGCTCAATTATTAGCCCTCCTATGAAATGTGACAACTTTTTCCAACCCAGGCTCATTCTGATTACGTGCCCCTAGTATACATTTCCGGAGAGTGCCAAATACATTCTAGGAGGTACATTTTTACAGTTTTTGTTTTCACAAATCCACCAGAGGCCGCTGTGTACACTTTTTCACATCTCAATTTTCACCTGCGAGTGCCATTCATGCTTGCTCTTCTCACGTAAATCTACCAGAGGCTGTTGTCGACTGACTGACCGACCAACCAATAGAAACCCCCACCCACCCCATTACCTAAACCCAACCGATAGTGCTTTATAAAGCACCAATTGACCAGCAACTACCCACTTCCCTACACCCAACTGACAGTGTTTTAAAAACCAATCCAGAAAAAGAAAAGCCCTCGCGGCAGCCTGATATTTACCACGTTTTCAGATTTTACCACATTCTCAATGTTATTTACTGAATTATTTTATTTTTTAGCTTTTGTTTTTGTCTTACCTGCTTTTTGGAGCTATTCTTCACCAGACTTAAACCCTGTTGTCACGGTCAACTTTGCTCTTTGTCTCAAATCCTCCGACGTACCCAACGAGCCACTGAACAAACTGCTAACAGCGAAAAAGCTGTCCACATGGAGGTAAACGGTATGGTAAGCACAAAAGGAATGGCATCATACTGCCCCATAGCCTTCGCTTTAAAGAAGAAATGCAGCTAAACGTAGCTCTGGTAATTCACAATCTCCAGAAATCTAAATAGGGCTATGTTTTCAAAACGAGCCTATATATACTTTTTCAAATAGTCCCCAATTGCTGTCTAATGAAGAAAGGACATTTTCACAGTATTTCCTTTAATGTTGTTTCTTGGAAAAGTCTTACTTTTTATATTAAGCTACTTAATATATATATATATATATATATATATATATATATATATATATATATATATATATATATATATATATATATATATATATATTTTTTTTTTTTTTTTTTTTAATAAAAAAAAAAAGTTAAATTTTTTACATTTTTTTTTCCTGTCGGCTTAGTCCCTTTATCAAAAAGGGGTCGCCACAGCAGAATGAACTGCCAACTTATCCAGCACATTTTTACGCAGCTAATGCCCTTCCAGCCGCAACCCATCTCTGGGAAACATCCACACACACTCATACACTATGGACAATTTAGCTGACCCAATTCACCTTTGTGTCTTTGGACTGTGCGAATAACCGGAGCTCCCGGAGGAAACCCACGCGAACACAGGAAGAACATGTAAACTCCACACAGAAACAGCAACTAAGCAGATGATCGAACCAGCAACCCAGTGACCTTCTTGCTGTAAGGCGACAGCACTACCTACTGCGCCACTGTGTCACCCTGAATGCTAGTATCTTGCAAAATAACTAGTAAAGTATTATGCACTGTTATTATGTCAGACAAACGTTAACTAAAATTATTAGGTTTAAAAATGTGTTTTAAAACCTTTCCCTCTTTAAAACATCACTTTAAAAATATCTGAAAAAAAATTTTACAGAAGGGCTAATAATTTTGCCTTCAACTGTACATATTTATTACCATTCTAGATCTGTACCAGACTTGTCATGACGGAATTACATTTATTTTGTAATTACATTACGTAACACCAATACATTCCCAAGTAGCTACTCCCAACTCTGTGCACAAACGTTGTTATTGTTAATTTTTTTTACATTTCCTTTAGGCATTTTTCTCCATCTATTGCTTGCCCATAGTTGTCAGAAGTACCTTACATTATGAAATACAAGCAGTCTCCTGGACAAATTGCTCCTCTTTTGTATGTCACATCGGATAAATGCATCTGCTACATGCACAGGCGTTTTGTATAGTGAGGTATAGTAATGCTAAACAGGGCTATTTAATTGACAGTTTTTCAGGTAGGCACAAATATAAGAAGTGTGAATGGATATGCGTGAGAATGAGGACAAAGGGATTTTAGAAACAGGTTCATAGACGGCTGACTACTCCACATATACTCATTAACTTGTCCCATTTATCCCTGTTTAAACAGATCGCTGTGTGTCATCTTTAAATACACACTGAAAAAATGTAAACGACACAATTGAATACTTAGAAATACAAGCAAAGAGTCCTTGTTTTTATGCTTTACTGTGCATATTCTGGGCCAGGTGAAAACATCAGTGGACTTTGAAATCTCGTATACACTAGGTTCATTGAGAGACTCTGTATTTGTTTGCTTATAGTGGGATTCTCTACATGATTTCAGTTATTAGAGAGGAAAAAAATTACCTTTTGAGGAAAGAACCCAGCATACGTTAGGTTAAAATCTGGTAAACGTCACTGAAATGTGGAACATCTGTGAAGCATTTGCAGGCTCTTGACCTAGTCATTTTTTTTCTCAGTCCAAAGATCTATAAAGCTTGGTAAGGTTTCAATAAAAGCAGGTCAATCATGTTGACTCGAGATGACTACATTTCCAGTTTTACACAGTTAACAGGTTCCATTGCTAGTATTTTCGGTAATATGTGAAAAACCAATCATGTAAACCAACTACGATTTAAATTAATCATTGCATTGTTTTTTCCTCCTTATGGATTTTTGTAATATCAGTAAGACTACATACATACTGTAAACCAAAAACACCTTAACATAAGCCAAAACTCCAGTTCACGAAATCATTTGGAAGTCAGTCAATCATAAATGCGATTGCCCCACATTACCACAATAACCAAGCATCAGCAGTCGCTCATGGGTAAAGCTTTTCATGAAGCATTTTACAGTTTTAATTAAGAGGAAAATGAAAAGCATCAAGAGCAATTAGAGGCGCTGTGAAACACTGGGGTTCCTATAGTGTATGAGGATGATGGGTACAGTGACCCTCACAGCTGACCTCAGCCATCAAAATCTACACTTCTGCATGAGAGTTTACATCAAAACGCGATGAAGCGCGATCATTTTATGAACACTTGATTTATCACATTGTGCTGTACAAGTTAATTACTTTAGTATTGAATAGATGACTCTGAATTGACAGCTGAACTGTGATTTAACCTCAGTCTAGGAAGCTGCGTTCATTCACATGCGTTAACTACTTCATCTGTGAATATAATAAAAACTGATCTGCTAATATTCCAAACTGTAAAAAAATTATGCTGGATGCATTTTCAGAAACTCGCTGCTAGATAAGAGTCAAATATGAGCCCAGGTATTTCAGTTTTTGTTTTAGGTATTTTAAGGTGGCGGTATATTTACAGGGTTGTAAATATATATATATATATATATATATATATATATATATATATATATATATATATATATATATATATATATATATATATATTTAATTAACTAACATACTGTGAATAATGTCATGCTTGAAGTGTTAATACATGTTGAAACAAAGCTCTTCAATAGCTCATTTGCAAAATATGTGTTTGCAATATTTCCCACACACACAAAAAACCTTCAGGGTAAAACTTATCATATTAAAATATCACTATAAATATTGACTAAGCCAAAAAAAAAGTTGTCTACAGGGAATATTGGTAACATACACGTTTAACGGATTAATAAATATATATTCTTTTTCCTATAAAATATACCGAACATATCTTTTAATATTACAAATTTTTTAAGTTGCTTTGAGATAAATATGTTTGCATCGCATATTATGAAGCAAGCCACATTCCAAAGATCATTTGACAGTATTTTAAGCTGACTGAAGTGTTTTATATGTAGTATTTTACTTCACATTGCTGATAAAATGAAGAAGTAGGCTAATATTCATATAGGTGCTCCAGATAGATTACACTTAATAACAATTAATAACCACAAATTTGCTGTGTTTTCCTGCACTAACCATTGTTTAACCATCATTGCTATTTGTAGTAAGTTATTATAGTCTGTAAAACAGTTTACAGGTACAGATATATAGAAAAACTGATTTAAATTGGTATTTAAGGGATAACCAATTATAAATGCATTTGAGAACAATTGTTGGCCATATTCTCAGTTAAAATGTACTATTTTTTTTTTCAATTTGAAGCTCATTATTTTAGACATCATAAGCAGCAGTATCGTTATTTATGGAAGACACTAAATAATCATAAGCTTATCCAAATATTAGCACGCGTCCAGCAACAAAATTATGTTTGACATTGTCGAGATCACGTGTGCGGCACGGTTTAGTGTTGCGCGCGAACGGGAAAGAGCTGTTTTGACCGTTGATTGATTTGCAGCACTTACCGTCAGTCAGCTCCGGTTCTTCACTGTAAGTACTTCACTTTGCGATATAATCCACAGTTTTCTTCACAAACTAAGCCATATAATGCTCTGTCCACGCCACGTCCACGCGTGCTACATTGACACTCAATCTGTTTCAGATAACCTCGGTCTATCATTGTATATATGTTTGGGAATTACGTAGAATATAAGTAAGCAATGCTGCTAAACTCTTCTGTTGGTTGTCAGCTCAAGCTCATTTTATCTAGTTCAGTTTTCTTCTGTCCGTTCAGCTTAGAGAGAGAAAGGCAAAGTGCGCCTGTGTGTCACTCTCTCAGTAGGTATACTGTATACTGTGGTCTGGTGAGCGCACTAAACATAATTTGCTTGGGCTACTTGTGTTCCACCTACGGTCTCCCTCCCTCCTCATGAACTCCTCCCCTCATTATCCCAACTCCAAAAACCAAAATCCAGCTGCTGTAGTCAAATACAGATGATCTAGAACGGGGATTTTTTTACACCCCAGGGATGGACTCCCATGCTAAAATGCATCTGTAATTGTTGTACAAAGATTCATGTTTCATATATAAATATAGGTCACACTTCATGTTAAGGTACATTTCTCGCTATCATCCCAGATAAATAAGGACTAAGCCGAAGGAAAATGAACAAATTTTAAATTTAATTCTTTTAACAAGCCTTCAACTAAGACTTTTAGCTGAATAAAGTACTAATATGCTGCTTATTAATATTTAGTAAATTGGTAGGTACAAGATTATGGATGTAACATAAGATCATACCTTATAAATAGGGCCAGACAGAATCTGCAGACATTTTTGCTATTTCTGCACAGAATTTTGTAAAAAAAAAAACAAATCTGCAGAATTTTGTGAAAAATTTTAATTCTAACTTAAATTGTCTCAAAACACATTTTTTGAGCTGTTGACAGCCGTTTATGTGTCCCATGCTGCTAAAAACACTATTAGGACACGTATATTTCACTAAAAAGTGAAAATTGGTTGTTTTTGCATTATTTCGAGCAAATTCGTACTTCTGGTTTGAAATGAATTTTTGCAGTTGCATCACGGCCATGAGATCTTAGCGTGTAGACTGGACGTCTGTACCTGAGAGTGCCTTATTACATCTCTGAGTGTGCTGCATTAATGCATGGGTAAGACTTGGTTCAAACCAATCAGCGCGCTCTATTGTGCAACTTCATTAATATTCATTAATGTTACAGTGTTCAGACGGCAGAGAGACGCCATGTGTTGGCAAAACAAGCGTGCAGTGTTGCTTTTATATATCTCGTTTGTCAAGAGGGGCATGAAGGAATTCCCTGAATGAAAGAGCCAAACTGCAGTTAAAGTCCACTATTTAATAATTTGTCAAATATTTGGATTATGATGTCCATGTAAACACAGTCAGTCTTTCTCCCGTTTGTGTGTGTGTGTGTGTGTGTGTGCGTGCGTGCGTGCGTGCGTGCGTGCGTGCGTGTGTGTGTGTGTTTTGACTGAAAATCAGTGCGTGCTCAAATCGACACTCCCATTTTTATGCAAATTTTTTACAGACCATCAATCTTTTGCTCCTCCGACACTCCCCCCTAAACAGAGCTGGACACACCCACTTTTCTTACTTTTGCCAAAGTAGAGGTGTGAAAACACAAATTTTTTTTACTATGAGTAAAAAGTAGCCCTTTTAATAGTACTCAAGAGTAGTGAATAGTGAGTATTACGCTGTAAAATGCGAATGCGTTTACATGCAATTTGTGGATGTGTGTAAACGTAACATTCTGTAGTGTATTTAGTTATTGCCCTGCAGGCACACAAACACCATAAGACATTAATATTAGGTTAGATTTATGTTGTGAGGTCAGGTGACTAAAATTCAATGTCTTGCCAGCATCTAAGGACAAAATTTTTTTGAAGTGACCAAAATCCAATGACGAGCCAACATCTTTAACTAACGTCATTTTGATGTCAAATATTGACATTTTTTTGTCAGGTATGGCAACTAATTTTAATTACAGTAATTTTAATATTTGTAATTTCTTTACACTGCTTTTATTTAATGCTGACAATGCAAATCCAATTAGATCCACTAAACAAAGCAAGTTTCTTATATTATATATTTACTAAAAGACAGAAAATATTACTTTACAATTTGTGTTGTAAATAAAGCAAATGAACATTTTCATATTAGTCAAAAATACTAATGAAATTAATTAAAAAACTTATTAAATATAAATGTACACACATTTACACAAGTAAATAAAAAAAAAAAACGATGGGCTAAAAATCTGCAGATATCGGCACATGCAGATTTTGTATGGGCTTACTTATAAGTACTAATTAACAGACAGTATTGCATTAATAGTCAGGTAATAAACCAGTTGTAATAGTGGGAATCAGAACTATCATAAATAGATTTATTTTTTATTATTTCCATTAAGGTAAGTTTCCCCCCTTATAAATAGTGCTGTATTTAAATAATTTATTAGTTTTGTTAGTCGATTATGAAATATTACAAAATGTATTGTCTTTTTATTTTTTGTTTGGTTTAATAAACAAGAAAAACTGGACTTAAATGTTCAATTGTTTATTTTCTTTAAGTTGCATATAATATTTTTTATTTATTACAAATTCATTTGTTTAATTCTGTTTACGATGTATTTAAATGTTATCTTAATAACATCTGATTATTTTTTATTTATTGCTTTATTAATAATTATTGTGTATTACTTATTTACAGATACTACTAACTACTTACCACCTCCCCCCTCCCCCTTTGTTTGTAATATTAATCAGAAAACAATACAGTGGAGGCTGTACACTCAATAAAATGACTGAAACCGATCACAAGTAGGGTTAGGCGATTTAGCATAAAATCAAAATCCTGATAATTGAACTTTTTAACTCAATTACGATTAATGAACGATTATTTTATTTATGTATTTAATTATTTTTGCCCTCATAGTTCACTGACAAGCTTTGTACAAGTTAAGAGATTTCTGAATGAAGGGTGCATTATTTGATTTTAAAATAATTGAAGGAAACACACACTATCTACTACATGGTTTGTTCCAGCAGGTTATAATCGCACCAAAACATAATAAAAGGTAAGTGAATTATAACACAGCAAACTTTTCTGTAAGTGTAGTAGTGCTGTGAGCTGTTTGTTTAACTCTTTAAGGTTACGTGCCGCCTGACTGACTGGCTGACTGACAGGTGCGGGATCCGTGAGGCCAGCAAACAAAACACATAGCCGTTTCACTTTGCTTCAGGATGCATTAATGTCGCTCTGTAGGTCTAATAGACACATTCACAAATATTCCTAGCAAATCTAATAACTGTTGGAGACATACACACTACAGGGCGACGCAGTGGTGCAGTAGGTAGTGCTGTCGCCTCACAGCAAAAAGGTCGCTGGTTCGAGCGCCGCTCAGTTGGCGTTTCTGTGTGGAGTTTGCATGTTCTCCCAGCATTCGCGTGGGTTTCCTCCGGTTGCTCCGGTTTCCCCCACAGTCCAAAGACATGCGGTACAGGTGAATTGGGTAGGCTAAATTGTCCGTAGTGTATAAGTGCGTTTGTGAATGTGTGTATGGATGTTTCCCAGAGATGGGTTGCGGCTGGAAGGGCATCCGCTGCGTAAAAACGTGCTGGATAAGTTGGCGGTCCATTCCGCTGTTGCGACCCCGGATTAATAAAGGGACTAAGCCGACAAGAAAATGAATGAATGAATACTTACTACATAAACGCACTAAATGGCACTTCAGCAGGGGCGTGCAAGAAGTTTTGTGCATGAGCAGAGGAAATCGGCGCGCAAGCACAGAGATTTGCATGCTCGTTGGCTATTACATAAATACGATCTCGAATTGTAATATTGCGCTCACGACATTTGCCATTGAAATACACAACAGGAAGTTGGTAGATCTAAGTAAAAAGGCCTGCCGCCACAGCTGGAAAAAATCCTAGAGGAAACACTGTACTGTCCATAATTATTTACTGAACATCAACGTTAAACAACTGAAAATAAATCACACATTGCTTAAAACCAAAAGTCATTTTTTTCCTTATAAAAAGTGAAAATAGATATCTTGCACTTTTGGAAACAAAGTTTATTATTTTCAATGTTTTTCATATTAAAAGTAGTAAATAAGCAGTATCTCTTAAAGTAAAATAATAACTTTTGTGTATATTCTGTAAATAATATTTGAAACAGTGCATTTCTTGCGTCTTCTGTAAACAAATGTTTTATGTAAATTATTACTGAAAATATGCTGTCGCGGGTGAAGCAGTGGCGCAGTAGGTAGTGCTGTTGCCTCACAGCAAGAAGGTCGCTGGATCGCTGGTTCGAGCCTCGGCTCAGTTGGCATTTCCGTGTGGAGTTTGCATGTTCTCTCTGCGTTCGCGTGGGTTTCCTCCGGGTGCTCCGGTTTCCCCCACAGTCCAAAGACATGCGGTACAGGTGAATTGGGTAGGCTAAATTGTCCGTAGTGTGTGAATGTGTGTGTGGATGTTACCCAGAGATGGGTTGCGGCTGGAAGGGTATCTACTGCGTAAAAACTTGCTGGATTAGTTGGCGGTTCATTCCGACAAGCCGACAAGAAAATGAATGAATGAATGAATATGCCGTCGCAAGGCATGCCTGGCACAACTTCCAATCATCGTCAGTGTGGTGCAAAGTAACAAAGCAGGGTCACATGACTCCACACAATGTTGATTTGGATTACTTTTCCATTAATCCCACAGCCCTAATTACAACAAGCCACATTAATTGAAAACATCTGTTTAGAGATCTTAAAAAATACATTTTATTCTCAGCTGAATTAATTAATACACATTTTATTACCCCAACATTTAATCGTAACTCTTTGGAAATTCAAGAAAAAGCTATATAAGGTATAAATGTGAATGGCCAAACACACAACCATATTAACTATTCATGTTCACTTTCATAAAGTCTTCATTCATAAGTCTATATAGCCTATATAAAATGCAAAAGGGTGACTAATATTGAGGGCAACTTGGTTCATGAGCAGATATTTCATCCTTAGGCGTTATATTTAAGCATAATTGAATACTTTGTTTGTGTGGTCGGCTGCTGTTTGATTCTCTTTATTAATGGACCTGAAGTTGCACCACACGTGAGATACTCATGACGTCTTCTGCACATTCGTCCCACTCTAATCACTGCTTCTTTTGTACGTTCTGCCTCTTGGAAACTGCGACGTCTATTCTAGAATCCCAGGAGTGAAGGATGACTTTGAAACTGAACACTCTTCATCCATCTTCATAATACATGTGTGTGCAAACAGCACCAAACAAGACATCCCATGTTTTTATTTTCCCTGAAGGAGGACGAAATTAGACCTGACAGGCTCATTATACAATGAGATTAATCACATTAAAGGGCTGATTAAAACATGGGGGAGATTACACACCCGC